TAAATATCCAACTCTTGATTTCAGCTCAGGCCCTGATCTCAGGGTCATGAGATCAAGCCCCTTGTGGGCTTGGTACTGGGTATGGAGCCTGCTTAAGATTCTCTCTCTCTCCCCCTCTGCCCTGCCCCTCACCCCAGCCCCTCCCGACTCCTATATCATGTGTGTGCACGTGCTCTTTCTCTCTCTCTTAAAAAAGAGAGAGAGAGAGACCAGGAGCAGAGGAATTAAAAACAGTAATTTCGGACAGTTCTTTCAAGGAGTTTTGCTGTGAAAGGGAACAGGCATTGGAGTGGTAGCTGGAGAGAAATGGAGGGTTGATGGAGGGTTTTTTGTTTTTTTAGAATAGAGACATAGAGCATATTTAGAGATCCATCCAGTGGAGAGGGAACAGTCGATGTTGTAGGAGAAGGCACAATTACTGGATTGCTATTCTTGAGTGAGTTAATAGAATATAGTATAAATGTGAAGGTTTGGCCTTCAGAGCACAGGTAGTTCAGCCAAGTGAAAGGAGAGATGACAGAGTGCATGGGTGCAGAAGTAGGGAGATTGGTAGCTGTGGTGGGACCATATGGTCATTGTCTTCTGGTAGCTTCATTATCGGCTGAAAGTGTGGTCCTATTAGAGGTTTGAGATGAGGGGAAAAGGTGGGAAATAATTGTGCAGAAGATTGAGAGAGTAAGAGGATTTAGGGGACTATAGTAGAATTGCTGGGTAGCACTGGGGGTTACTAGAATTTTATTAAACATCAGTTTAAACAGACCAAGGCAGCATGATTATTGTTTTCTTCAGTAGTGTTCTGCTGCACAGAGATTGGTATGGTACAAACAGAATTTTGGATTTAATCAACGTTGAAATTTGTAGATTAGAATGATGAAAAGAGAGGTGCCAGACTCATAAGGGTATACATAGGGAGTGACTATAATGGTGGACCATGAAACTTAAACTGGATAAGGAGCTGAGAAGGGAAATTATGAGAGAGGGGGTAAGAGACAGTGGGAAGAGGGGGTAGGATTGAATGGATTATGGGTTCTGATAGAGTTTGAATAATTGTTGGAGTCAGAATCCTAAAGGGAATGAATGGAAATAGAAGGTGTTGGTCAGGGATTAGATGGTTAATTTGTGATTACAGCAGAGGGTTAGTTAACTGGTAATGGCAAAGTCTAGGTTATGACCATGGGAGTGCTATTTCCTGGTGAATAGCCTTAGAAAAATTCTACAACCTCTCCAAGCCTTACTTGGATTAAATGATAATGTAAATGCAAAAATACATGGCATAGTGTCTAGCATGTGATAGATTCTTAAAAGAATTTCCTTCCTTTCTTTCATAATTTTGAACCTAGTTTCCTGACCTGAGCAGAATAGCAAAACACCATAGATGCTTAGCATCTTATGCTTCATAATCATGTATGAAGCCTAGTGAAATTTAAAAAAGATTTAAAAATCACTCTATACCCATTATTATTTTTCCTTACTCGGAATGAAAAACACTACCATTGCAGCCATCACTATTATGTGAAGAAGCACTTATATTTCTATTACAATTCTGCTTCTCTTACTATTTATACATTTAAAAGAATCTGTGCCAAGGGTTTTCACATCATTTGCATTTACTGTCAAAACAGCCCCGTGAGGAGCGTGGTGCTGGTGTTCTTGTTACTTTCTTCATTTGCCAGTAGAGGAAATGAGAGTATAGTGAAGTATCCTACATATGATTATATTGGTTGAATATATTGTTGGAGTCAGAATCCTAAAGGGAATGAATGGAAATAGAAGGTGTTGGTCAGGGATTAGAGGGTTAATTTGTGATTACAGCAGAGGGGTGTAGTTACTGGTAATGGCAAAGTCTAGGTTATGACCATGGGAGTGCTATGAACTGGTAACTGAATTCTGTTCTTTTTGTGGTGTGTCATTATTGGGGATATGTTTCCCTTCTATAGATCTGCTAATCCCCACAGATCTCTTTTTAAACTCTATAAGGAAAGGATTTTTCTTTTTATTGTATAATCCTCATAATTTTATATCTGTTCATTTTTTCATGCAACACATACTTACTGTAACCTTTCTAAATGTTAGGCCATGTGTTTAGGCCCTAGGAAGATAGTGAGAAAGACATGTACCCTTACCTTCAGGAAATTTTCACTATAGTGAGAAGGACAGACATTAATAATTACATAAAAGTATGTAAAATTGAAAAATGCTGGAGCCAGGTGAGTAAATACCAGAGAGGGACTTGATGACTGAGTCTGTGGGTTGGGCTGGTGGTGATCATGAAAGACTTCTCTAAGGAAGTTACAGTTAAGCTGTGATTTGAATGATGAACAGCAGTCAACTAGGCCAAGAGGTAAAGGGAAAAGGGTGCTACCTAAGGAGAGACCCTAGGTGAAGGGATCCTTCCTTCCTGTCCTTCTTACCCTCCTTCCTTCCTATCACAATTCATAGTGGTTCTTTCTCATTTTCATTATGATTTTAAAATGTACAAAGCATAGTACTGAATTTTTCTCTCTGCATTTTCTGAGAAAATCAATTATTTGGACTGCTTAGGAGGGCTTGTGGTGAGTTTACATCCTAGGTTCCATCAGTTGTCACGCAGCAAGGCCATGGAGGACATTAATTTTGCTGTTCTTTTTTTTTTTCCAGCTTTATTAAAAAATAATGGGCATACATCACTCTGTAAGTTTAAGGTGTACAGCGTGATGGTTTGATTTACATATATTGTGAAATGGTTACCACAATAGGTTTAGTTAACGTCCATCATCGCATATTCATTTTGCTTTTTAAAAATTTTTATTGTTATGTTAATCACCATACATTACATCATTAGTTTTGGATGTAGTGTTCCATGATTCACTGTTTGTGCATAACACCCAGTGCTCCACGTAGAACGTGCCCTCTTTAATACCCATCACCAGGCTAACCCATACCCCTACCCCCCTCCCCTCTAGAACCCTCAGTTTGTTTTTCAGAGTCCATTGTCTCTCATGGTTCATCTCCGCCTCCGACTTACTCCCCTTCATTCTTCCCCTCCTGCTATCTTCTTCTTTTTTTTTCTTAACATATATTGCATTATTTGTTTCAGAAGTACAGATCTGTGCTTCAACAGTCTTGCACAATTCACAGCACTCACCATAGCACATAGCCTCCCCAATGTCTATCACCCAGCCACCCCATCCCTCCCACCCCCCACCACTCCAGCAGCCCTCAGTTTGTTTCCTGAGATTAAGAATTCCTCATATCAGTGAGGTCATATGATACATGTCCTTCTCTGATTGACTTATTTCACTCAGCATAACACCCTCCAGTTCCATTTCATTTTGCTTCTATGCTGAAAATTTTTGCTGGCACAACACACTGAATCTTTTTTCCAAAGGGAATGTGATATACTTCTGCTTAAATAAATGAACATTTCCATCTAAATTGATTCATTTGGTATATTACAAAAACTAATTCATTACATAAACTAATCATTTCCTTGGTTGAAAAATACAGTTACAAGGGGTTTTTTACTTCTAAGTAGGCTGGGGACTCAGGCAGTTTTTCTTTTTCTTATTTTTTTTTAAAGATTTTTTTATTTATTTGGGAGAGAGCAAGCTAGAGAGAGAGAGCGAGAACACGCACAAGCAGGGGGAGGGGCAGAGGGAGAAGCAGACTCCCCGCTGAGCAGGGAGCCCGATGCAGGACTCGATCCCAGGACCCTGGGATCATGACTTGAGCCAAAGGCAGACGCTTAACTGACTGAGCCACCCAGGTGCCCCCTTTTTCTTATTTTTATACTGTCATCCATTTCATCCATTGACCCACTACTAGCATTTATGTAACACAAGGAATCTACTATAGCAATCTATAGTAGAAAATCCACATGGCAAAGGAAGAAAATCTCAAATGAATGTTATAATCTACCAGTATTTCATTTTTAAAAACAAAATACCATCCATTGTTATGATAATTATTAAATATGTTTAACCTAGTGTAGGTGCATACTAGAACTGACTAAGGTGTTTAGCAAAGTAGAAGAGAAGCTTTGAAAAGGATATTGGCTACAAAAAGCAAAGGATGAATAATTCTTTGACTTTACAAAGAGATTACTGAGCACATTTATCAAGCAAAGGTGATGGGACTTTCTTGGAACGATTCCAAGCCACAATGTGATGCTGGCTAAGCATTATTACAACACAGAAACAGATGTAGAGCAATGATACTGTAGACTTCTCAAGCACGTAAGCAATTGTTCATGATTTTTTTTCCAGCCATATCAGTTTATGTAAGAAAGGAATATGATGTGGTTGGAAGAGACTGTACTTTAAGAGATACCCAGGTTTCATCTGTATCTCAGTACTACCATACTCTAGTGTGATCTAGAGTGATTCTCTACATCTCTTGAGTCTCGGTTACCCATCTCTAAATTAGGAAAATACCTTTTCAAAAAAATTTTTAAAGATTTTATTTATTTTAGAGAGAGAGTTGGGGGTGGGCAGAGGGAGAGGGAGAGAGAATCTCAAGCAGATTCCGTGCTGAGCACAGAGCCTGACACAGGGCTTGATCTCAGCACCCTGAGATCACGACCTGAGCCAAAACCAAGAGTTGGACACTTAACTGACTGCACCACCCAGGCACCCCAGGAAAATATTTTAATGAAATAATGAAACTTGATATTCATAGTGATGACCCTGAGACAGTGAAAGATCTGGACAGTCTGAATTATTCACTAATTTTTATAGTGTTAGCTTTGTCTGGAATTGTAATCCTTGTATCACTTTACTTCAGTATCAAGAATAGCTGATGAATCAAAACAGCCCACTGCAGAGTTCTTGAGGAATAAAGTATATGTCATGTTTCTATCTGTATATGTTAAAAATATTACTATCTATAAAGCAGTATAAATACACTTTAAACTATAAAGAAAACATCCATCTGTTTCACAGTGCTAGCCAGTGAGCATAAGGCTAGCCAACTTTTTTTTCCTTTTCCCTGCCTAATACTTTTCTGTCCCTCTTTGAATTTAGGAGCATGTATCCTGTTTGGAAATCTTTTCTTGAGGGAACAATGCAGGTAGCCCAGTCTCGGATCAATATATGTGAAAACTATAAAAACTTCATTTCTGAGCCTGCAAGGACAGTGAGAAGCTTAAAAGAACAGCAACTAAAAAGGGTATTGTTTCTATTCTTTTCTTATATGCATATTAATATCTCAGTGCTCCATTTGTAATCTGCAAGATTATATTAAATTGCATTTTAACACCTTGAGCTTTTCTATATGGTCACAAATAATTCTGATTTCAACATGGATTTTCTGATTACAGCATGTTACTAGGATTTTGTTGATTTCATCATATTCTTTCTAACTACTGTATTTTATTAACTGACAAAAGTGAGTGTAATTTGAATCTGGACATTCTGAAAGCTCAGTGAACACTTCTTACAGATACCACTTTTCACCTTAACTCAAGTAAATAGATTTAGTTTCACAATATTGGTATAGTTTGGTGTATGTTAAAGTAGTATGTTATTAAACCCACTAAGTCTTGAAAAAATTTGTCTTAGTTTTAACTTGAGCCATAGTGCATAATAATTTAAAGGAAGTTGACTTATTTTGATCAAATATAGAAAACTTAACACCAAAAGTAGTGTGCTCTAAAGTTTAATTATATAGGTTATAAAGAAGTAAAATTTTCAAATAGGTCTATTTCTTTGATTATACAGAAGTTAAAAATTCATAGAAAAAAATCACTATTAAATGTGATTTTTATGAAAAGCTTGCTATTGAAACTAGTTGATTGAATTATGTCCTTTTTTGGAAATAGAGTTACAAAAACAGATTATTGTGATGCCTAATAAGTAATTAAATTTTTCTTATGGAACCATTAAATACTTTAGAAAATATTAAAGTAACCATTTATGGAAATAGTAATTCAGAAGCCATCCAGTTTTTTAATTCTAATTGTCATATGGATTTTCAGAATTGTTTTACAAACAAAATCTAAAAAAACTAATTTTGCTTATTTGTCAAAGATGATTTTAGTAGCATAAAATCAGTATGTTAAATGTATATTGTATGTATATAAAATTTTCATCTCTTTCAAGCATTCATGTAATATCACTTGGTTTTAACATATTTGTATAAGAATGCCTTTGTTTTATCTTTGCTCAAAATTACCTCTTTCAAAACAAATGTGGTGAATAAACTACATGACCACTGACCAAACAGTGCTTTTGAGTTGGAAGAAAATATGCCGTATGTCTAGGTTGTAAATACCTATCCATGTGTGCAGAAAGAGGGTAGGAGATAGAGGCAGAGAATTAATGGCTAGCATAGCTTCCTAACTGGGAGGAAATACTGTTTCAGATAGCTAGTGCATTCACCAAATCTAACCAAATTACTGGAAAGTTCTACTTCTCTTTTTATAAGAAAATTTTGAAAAAGTTTACCACTGTGCTTTTCTCTTCCATTGGTAGAATAGTCTCTGCCCTGAATTTAACCAGCATTCCTGGGCAAAGGATATTTGGTGGGATTTGACAAGTCCTCATATCTGTGAATTAATTTGTTTTATATTATATCTGATAAAAGTGGTGCTATGTTCCATCTAGACATTAAGTACATATTGGGCATACCCATTAGGATTTTGAGATTACAGATGACAGACCTACTTCCAACTAGGTTAAGCCAAGAAAATAATGTATTGGCTTGTATAACTGAAAATTCCAGGGGTGGATCCAGGTGTTCAAATGATGGTATTATAATTCAGTCTTTCTTCCCATCCATTAGGTCTGCTTCATTCTTTAGCAAATGCTTCATTCTTTAGCAGCTCTCTACATGGTGGCCCCCAAAATGCAAGATTTACAAATCTTACAGCAAGTAATTCTACATTTTCCATTTTCCTAAAAGTTTTAATAAAACTACCCAAATTGAGGCCGGTCACAGTTCTTCCCCCAAGTCAGGGGTTACAGTCCTCATTGCAAACTATATGTACTAAAAATGGGGGAAGATGATTTTCTATTAGAAAATTGAGATGGGTTTCCAAAGGAAAACAAGGGAAATAGAGATAGAGCAAGCAAAAATAACCACTACAGTTGGTTTCTCCGATTGTACCTCCAAGCTTTACAACAGGTTGACTCCATAGGATAAATAGACCTTCAATTCTTTTTCCTTTGCTTCTCTAACCTTTCCCCCATTTTTTTTGCCTTCTTTTGAATTAATCTTATATTTTTCATTTCTTCTTTTTTTTAACTTTAGTGTGATAAAAGCACTTGACATGAAATTTACCCCTTTAACAGATTTTTAAGTGTACAATACAGTATTGTTATCTATAGCCCAGAGTATTATACAGCTCATCTTGAACTTACTCATTCTGTATATCTGAAATTTTGGTAGGTTAGCAGTTCTCTCTTTCCTCTTCCTCCAGCCCCTGCTGACCACAATTCTATTCTTTGCTTCCATGAGTTTGATACTTCATGTAAGTGGAATCATGCAGTATTTGTCCCTTTGTGACTGGCTTATTTCACTTAGTGTAATTTCTTGCAGATTAATCTGTGTTGTTGTATATGGTAGGATTTCATTCTTTTTTTAAGATCAAATACTATTCCATTATGTGTATATGCTACATTTTTTATACATTCTTGCATCGATCAGTACTTTGGTTGTTTCCTCACTTCTTTCTGTAGTTGAGTCTGAATATTTTCTACCAGTACCTTGCAGTTCATTAATACTCTGTTTTGCTATTTCTAATGTGCTTTTAAAACATCTTTTGGAATCTCAATGTATTTTTCAGTTCTAGAGTTTTTAATTGAGTTTTTAAAAGTAGATTCTGTGGGGTCCCTGGGTGGCTCAGTCGGTTAAGCATCTCCCTTAGGCTCAGGTCATGATCCCGGAGTCCTGGGATAGAGCCCTGCATCAGGCTCTCTGCTCAGTGGGGAGTTGGCTTCTCCCTTAGCCCCTCCCCCCAACTTGTGCTCTCGCTCGCTCTCTTTAGTTCTCTCTCTCAAAAATAAATAAATAGTATATTTTAAAAAATAGATTCTGTGTTTCTGGTGCAGCTCCACATGTTTTTCTTTTACCCTCTTATATGTTACTCCTAATCTGTTTCATGATTCAACTGTCTGAATCACTGGAGGCCTCTTTTTATGGTTTACTGTTTTTCTTGGTTTTTGGTTATTGGGGTCAACTGTTTTAGTATGCCTCACAATGCTGGACATTGTGGATAGAAATTGTAGAGACTCTGGAAGACATTTTTTATTTCCAAAGAGTTAAGTTTTCTGCAGGCAGATAGAATACTGTCAGATCACCTTGATCCTGTTAGGGTCTGGTTTTAACCTTTCTTAGGGCTGGTCTATTTCACCTTTGTCCTTATTGCCAGGATTTTAACTGAAAGTGTAGGGTGCCTACCAAAACCCTTCTACTTTGACAAGACATGGCTCCAACCTTTGTCTTCTCAACGTCAAGTAGCTGCTCTAATCCTCTGGTAACTGCTCAGCTCATTAGCCTTTCAGCTGTTTTTTACTAGATTTCTTGGGGGTTTCACCCGTACATGCCATTTAGAAGTCAACCGATGACTCTGGGAAATTGCATACAGATCTTTGGGCTTGCTTCTCTATAGTACCCTTCTTTCCAGGTCTTAGCCTCTCAAGTTTCTACTCTTTCAGCATCCTTAAAGTCCAGCCTCTGTTTCCCCAGTCTAGTAAGAATGCCTGTTTCTTTGTAACCTGATTCAACAAATAACCTAAGGAAAAAAGTCACCTTAAATATAGAGCTTACCTGGCTGTGCTTCCCTTCTTCCAGATATCGCAGTCCCATAAGTCCAGTGTGTATTATTGTTCTTCAGGGCTGGTAGCTTTTAACAGTGTCCAACTTTTACAGTTTCCAGCCTAGAGGAAGGCAGTCTGAAACAACTTGTTCTGTCATTATCACAACCAAGTTTGACTTAAAGTTTTCCCTCTATAACATTTTAATGTTCTTGTTCTTTTAAAAACTTTCTCTATTTTGACAGTTTTCTAATACTTGGGGATAAATCCAGGCATATTATAATTATAAAGCATCTGACCATTGTGTAGATTATAATGAGAATTACATCATAGCTTTTTCTACTCATTTTCTGTATGCTGATATTTGCTTATAAGACAAAATGAGCCACAGTAATCCAAGGCATTTGTCATTTTTATTAATTGAGGTATAATTGACATGACATTATATTAATTGTGGGTATATAATATAGTGATTTGATATTTGTTTAATTGCAAAATGATCACCACAGTAAGTCCAGTTAACATCCATCATTCTTTTTTTTTTAAAGATTTTATTTATTTATTCATGAGAGACAGAGAGAGCGGCAGAGGGAGAAGCAGACCCCCTGCTGAGCAGGGAACCCAATGCAGGACTCGATCCCAGGACCCTGGGATCGTGACCTGAGCCGAAGGCAGATGCTTAACCCGCTGAGCCACCCAGGCGCCCAACATCCATCATTCTTAAAATTAATTAATAACACTTTAGTTCATATCTTTCTCATGTACTAGAGTTTACATTCCTTTGAAATAGTTGGGATTTACATTGGATAACACTTTAGAGTTTGTGAACTGTTAATGTATTCATTATAGTCTCATTTGATTTTCATATGTACTTGTTACATATGTAAATATTATTATTTTACAAATGACAAAACTGAGGCTAAAAAATGTTAAAGAGACTTAGTAGTAAATAACAGAGCAGGAACTTGAATACACTACTTCCTAATTCCAAATCCTATGCAATCTTTTAAAAATGCTTAAAGTTTAATATTTAAATAGTTTTACAGAAAAATACATACAACCTCTTTACCTTAGTAGACTACTTAATTCCTTTACTCCTTTTATCTTCTTAGTTTTTGTAATAGTTGTAATTAATACATTGATAATTTTTATGATATCCTGTATTTGTCATTCTCTCCCAATTCCTAATTAATTGTTCATGTTTCTATACAAGCTTTATGTTTATTATTATTTTTTAAAATTATTATTATTTTTAACTCACAACCCTGAGATCAAGACCTGAGCTGAGATCAAGAGTCAGATGCTTAACCAACTGAGCCACCTAGGCACCTCTATTATTTCTTATTTCTGAATGAATTTTTAATTTATTCTGCTTTTTTAAATCATACCTCTCTTAAGTCTACAATAAAATTT